AAAAACATATTGCCCATCTAACAGCATCCGAATAAATAAAAAAGACATCTTAGATGACAACATGCTATGATGATGGCCTTAACTGACAGAAGATAACTGTGTATTTCTATAACTTATACATAACTTTGCCTTAAGCAACATATTTGATAGCTTTTCTGGTGTAGGGATGAAGACTTTTTGTTGTATAATTTCATTAACACTGGTAATTTAATTGGTTATGAGTTTGAATTATAATAATATCTTGTGAATTTGTATTTGGAAAGTAAACTTTATACACATCCAAAGGTGTTTACAGAGCTCATAAAAAGACTTTGTAATACGTAAATCTAAGAGAAGCAATAAAAAATATGGTATGTAACGATAAATATAAACCAGCTAAGAAATCAAAATTAGATTTGAGCAAGGAATAACAAATTGTATATTAGAGAAATGGCACCATCAGCTATACATGTTACCGTCCAAGGTGCCACTGGATGTAGCCCTATTATAATACATATCAACTGACAACATCAACTCAATAATGAATAAGAAAACAGACCACTGAAAAAAAAAAGGGCTAAACTAAGCCTATTAAACCTTAGAATAAATCAAAACGTACACCATAAACAGCCCTTATACCTTCTCCAGCTCGGGAATGGTTCGGGAGCAGTAGATGAGCTTTGTGAGATTCTGCGGAAAAGCTCGGAGGTAGGACACAATGAGCGACAGCAGTGTAATGGTCTTGCCTGTCCCCGAAGGCATCTCCAGTATGCAATGGCCCTGAGGAAGTGGAATTACATACTCTTATAAGCCTTTTTATTGGAGGGTATTTGTTACTCTGGATATTTGTGTACTTAAATCTCTTTATGCTTGTGTACAGTTGCCATAACTAATATCTCCCCCTTTACTATTACACAAGTCCTTCCTAGCTAGTAACCGGGATTTCTTACAAGTCCCACCGTCCCTCCTTAGCCATCTTCTCCAAGCCCATGTGTAGTTGGGTAATTGTTGTGGAGGAGATAGATAGATAGATGTGTAGATAAATGTATAGATAAGAAGATATATATATATAAAGATATATACAGATAGATAAGAAGATAGATAAATTGATGGATAGGTAGAGAGACAGATAAAGATAGATAAGTAGAGAGATAGATTAAGATAGATAGGTAAAGAGATAGATAGAGATAGATATATATAGATAGATTAATAGATACATATATACTGATAGACAAGTAAATAGATATATACAGACAGATATAAATAGATAAATAGATAGATATATATTGACAGATACAGATAAACAGATCAGATATAGATATGGAACAATTTTTAAAAATTTAATCAATTCTAAAACTGGCACCAATTAAACCAATCAGCATGGAAGAATACCACACCATGCCCACTGTAATGAAAGTACATCTATTGTCTTTACACACAGATGGCTCAACAAGTACTTAGTCACCATAGAGTCAATTAATAGTCTTACCTATCTCACATGTTTACCCTTTTCCTTGATTTTTTGAAAGCTTCATTTGTATCATTTCATTGTCTTTAATGTTATTTATATCTTAATAGCAATTTAATAATCAATAGTAATAATAATAATGTCAACATTAGCCCAATCAGCATCATGGCAAGAATACACTGTAATACAAGTTTATCTCTTCTATTTAGATGGCCCTACAAGTGCTTAGTCACCAAGGGGTCAGTTATTAGACCTAAATCACTCACCTGTTTACCATTTTCCTTGACATTTGGAAAGGGTCTTTTACATTATTTCATTGTCTTAAATGTTACCAAGATTTTAATAACAATTTAATAATCAGAACATCAATAACAATAATTACATTATCTATATCAATGGTATTAAAAAGAAAAACACATTTTCCCGCCAATTCGCGGAATGGAGAAATCAGAATCAGTCACTAGCGCCGACTGATAGACTCCTTGCTGGCTGAACACATGTGGAGCCATTTGTATGTAACAAATTTCACAAAAAACTACAGGGGACAGTAAATAAACCCATAGACATTAGGTTAATGAAACCTTTGGTAGTGCAAGTGGGCGGGGGGGGCAACTGAGCCTCTCACTCTCTCTCTCTCTCTCTCTGTCTGCTTATATCTGACTATCTTTATATCTATCTATGTTTCTATCTGTATCTATATATCCATCAAGCCATCTATCCATCTACAATCCATTAAATCTATCCATCCATCCACCTAACCATCTAACTATCCATCCATCCACTTTTTTTTCTTTTAATTAATCTACCTCTGTATTTTAATGATATTCATATTAGTCAAATAAATCATACATTTTGTACTGTGATACAGGAAAAGAAATGTATACAGTCAAGAGTCAATAAATCCCTTTTTTTCATCAATTAAAAATCATATATGAACTTACATAACAGGTTATAGAATGGGAGCAAAATTTGTACACTTGTGGTTGCCTCTTTGCTGAAGGAAAATACATTTTTGTTATCACAGTTTGCTAAACTGCTCTTAAAATAAATCTAATATTCCTTCTCATAAATAACAACAACACCCTAAGAATCCCTCAAACAAGCACTGACTCTCCCTTTTGCAAACACTTCCTCTCTGCTAACCTGCAACAACATCTTTTAACCCAATGGTGCCGGGGAAAATGAACAAAAAATGGGGAAAATATTGTGTCCACTTTCTATGTTTTTCGTGAAATGTCTGCCGATAGATGGCTCTGCTAGCGCCTGATTTAAATGGCGGGAAAAACGTATTTTTCACTAGTGCTATGAAAATCGATGGTGTTATTTTTATCATAAACATTATAATTTTTATATATTTTTTTTAACATTAGTAACAGCAAAATAAGATTACATAAAATATTTTGTAAATCAAAGAAACAGGTAAACGGGCGAGACGGGCGATGCTCGTAACTGGCTCATTGGGGAGTTAGTACAAGTGTTGCCATCTATGCGTGAAAACAATCTAACAAGTACTCACTGTGGGCATAGCACGTACGTACACGTCATACCCGGCACCAAGGGGTTAAACTGCATGTCCCTAATAAGCAAACTTCACCCACTCTCTCCCACAAACAAATCTACCATTCTACCTTAGCATCGAGACTCCTCTTTAGGTCTAACATGTATGAATACTGCTCCGGGTAGATGAAGTCGTAGGGGAAGAAAACCTGCATTCCGTCGACGTCCAGCCTGCAAGATCAAACAAAAGTGTTTTTTTTTTAATATTATAATGATAAATAAAATGGACTGTAATAAAAGCAAGAAAAGATTCACACACAAGAATAATTTTCAAACTTCATATATTCCATATATTGCTAAACTAGCAGATTATCAAGAGCGATCATTTTGAATATTATGATGTCAGAAATATATCATTATAAGAGTATTCATTCCTTTATCTGTCCAATATATTATTTTAGAAGGGAATCATCAGGAGAGGATTTTGCAAATATTGCTCGATATGTCAATATTTTTTAAAAAATGGATGATCATAGGTGAACACAATTTTTTTTTTTTTTTTTTTTTTTTTTTTTTAAGTATTATCAGAACTCTAAGATAGCTACCAAACTCCTTATCAATTTCCCTTTCTTGTTTTGTTTTCATTTACTTTAGCTTTGTCTACATGTACCCTACCATTTATATCTTTATTATTCAGAACAGTAAAAGAAGCAAGTTGAATGGATTTTTCTGCCCTGCATGAATATGTTGTCTGACAAAATACACATTATGTTTAAAAACTAAAATAAAATTGTATAGTAAACTGAATTCATTTATTTATTGAAAATTTCTGTCCCGTCGACCTCTAAGGTCTTTACCGGTGTATTCAAAATATAGTGAGTGCAAGGCTTGGGGGCAAAGGCCCCAGGGTAAGGAAGTGCTATAAAACATCAATGGTCATAAGGCACAATGGAAAATTAGAGTAGCAAAAAGGGTTACAAATGAGTTAATGATTAGGGTAAAGTAATAGGTTCAACAGTACTTGAGGGTGGTATAGTAGTGAAAACGGTAGTGAGGGGGAGCTGATCGGGCATAGTGTAAGGTAAAGGTTGTTAGAAGGGGATAAAATGGCAAAAAGGAATTTTATGATTAAGATAAGAAGACAGACCAAGGGAGTGAAGAGAAGGAAAGGGAAGGTGGAGAAGAAAAGCCCATGCAAAGTTAGTTGAGGGAATGGCTGAGGAACAAGGTAGGTGGTGATCCCTCACATTGGGCCTCAGTCTCCATCTCCTAAGCCCCCCCCCACATAATAAACTGTAGCAGGCCATGACCAGTACAAATTCACATACACTTTGTTACCATTAGTGATACCATTTAATATCTAATAAGTATAATAACCTTTACTTGTAGGTACATATTATCAGACAGGAGCTAGGTAGGTACCTCTATTGGGCCCTAAGGTAGCAGCTTAAGTGAAAATTGGCCTTTTAGGGTTTTGAGTTTGACATCCCTGATCAATAGCATAACAAGACAGAGGCAAAATATTACCAGAATAATCATAGTGGAGGTTTGCTAGTCTTTGCAGAGTGCCACTAGGGTTACATCATTGATGGTTGGCACAAGGCTAATGGAAAATGCATGCTTGTCTTCTAAACATTTGCCACAGAATTCAATTTTACAAGCTGTTTCACTGAAAGGTCATGTTGTAAGAAAATAATAAACTTGAGGAAAGACTTTTATAATGAAACCAGGGCAGTGACTAAGCAATCACAATAGTCTCTGCCTTTGACTGTATTTTTCATTATTCTAAAAAAATGGCTTCTTCATCTAGCACTGGTTATTATAAGTAATAGAGAATCTAAAACACCAGTTTTGTTCTCTTTACCTTTTCTTCTTCTAATCTTCTTTGCTACCTTATTTGAGGCCTTTCTAGTAATGGATATTCTTTACGGTATGGACATACTTGCCAGAGACAAGTATGACCACATCACCAAACTTATTCACAATAATCTACGTTGCTGTGACTGAGTGTGCCCTTTGAGTACTGCCCAAGGGGAAGGTTGAAGCACTGTCTTTA